TCCAATCCAGCTCTCTGCTAATGTGCCTGGGAAAGAAATAGAAGATGGCCCAAGTGCTTGGGCCCCTGTGCCTATGTGGGAGACCTGGAAGAAGCTCCTGGCTCCTGGCTTATGCCTGGCCCAGCCCCCGCTGTTGCAGCTACTTAGTGATCCAGAGGATGGAAACTCTCTCTCTGCCTCCACCCCCACCCCGTAAGTTTGCCTCTCAACTAAAATAAATCTTTTTTCAAAAAAAAGAAGTTAATATTAGGGCTACTGAATGTGGAGTACTAGGAAAAGAATAAAAACAGATTCTTTGTAAATATGTATCTTATGCTCACCTTGCTGCTTATATTTTTTATTCATTCATATTACTTGTTTTGTCTACAAATTTTCTCATTAAAAAACCTAAGTGATTTGGAATTGGTGATGCTCCTAGGCAACTGTCAAGCACAAAGCAAATTCTCTCTGGATGAGTTCAGCTTCAGTTCTGGCCTCAAAGATGCCTAGAGGGGCTGGCTTCGTGGTGTAGCATGTAAAGCCACCACCTGTGATGCAGCATCCCATATGGGTACCAGCTCAAGTCCCAGCTGCTGCACTTCAGATCCAGCTCCCTAAAAAGCAGAAGACCCTGCCACCCAAATTGGAGACCCAGATGAAGCTCCTAGCTCTGAGGCGGCACTGTGGCATGTGGCCGGCATCCCGTATGGACACCGGTTCATGTCCCAGCTGCTCCTCCTCCAATCCAGCTCTCTGCCTATGGCCTGGGAAAGCAGTGGAAGAATGGCCCAAGTGCTTGGATTCCAGATGGGGAAGAAGCTTCTGGCTCTTGGTTTCAGCCATTGTGGCCATTTAGGGCGTAACCCAGCAGATGGAAGACCTTTCTCTCTGTCTCTCCCTCTTTCTGTCTGCAGCTCTACCTCTCAAATAAATAAATACAATCTAAAAAAAAAAAAAAAAAAAAAAAAGGAAAGGAAAGGAAAGAAAAAAATCTCCTGGTTCCTGGCCTCAGCCAGGCCCAGGCCCAACTATAGTGACCATCTGGAGAATGAACCAGTGCATGGAAGAGTTGGAAGAGTGAGCTCTTGCTCTCTCTCCCTCTCTCTCTCCCTCTGTGTGTGTGTCTCTCTGTAACTTTAACTTTCAAAATAAATAAATCTTTTTAAAAAAGATGTCCCAAAATACAGTTCTTCTCCCCATAATTATCTCATTGTAAAAAAACATAAAATGCACAAGAAAACAAGATGACATGAGTGAGAACTAGCAGTAACAGATTTAAAATACTTCAGAGATTGAATTATAAGACAAAACAGAAAATTACTATTACTGGTATGTTTAAAATGTTTAATTAAAAGAGAAGGCTAAATATTTGACAGAGAAATGAAAATTATATAAAAATGACAAATGATTTTTAAATAACCAAATTAATTTTTTTGAACTTCAAATTCAATGAATACTTCTACATGCCAGGGCACGCATTAAATATTTTCATGCAAGTATAGTTTTAATTTCATATTAACAAATATTTTTATTAGTAAGTACTAAAGTTGAAAAACATTTATATGGAAAATTTTTCCTTTGTTGATTCCAAGTTTTGGTTATGGTGAACAGTGCTGTTGTGAACATGGTGGTGCAGGTATCTCTGATACAGTCTCATACAAATCTTTTGGGGATATATGCAGTAATGGCATTGCTGGATCACATGGCAAGTCCATTTCTAGCTTCTTAAGAAATCACACTGTTTTCTACAGTGGCTGCACTAATTTACACTCCCCTCAACAGCGTAGAAGTGTTCCCCTTTGTCCACATACTGGCCAATGATTGTTACTCTCAGTGTTTTGGATTTTAGCCATTCTGACATGGATGATGTAATATCTCATTACTGTTTTGATTTGCACTTCCCTGATGGCTAGTGATGTTGAACATTTTTTCATATACTTGTTGGCCATTTTTATTTCTTCTTTTGGCATAGCCCAAATTTGGAATCAGCCAAGGTGATCTTCAGATGAATGGATAAAGAAAATGTGGGAAATATATATGTATATATTTTCTTTGTGTGTGTGTGTATATATATATATATATCTCCATTGTCTATATATATTCATTATATATATATATATATATATAGACACAATGGAATATTATTCAGCTATTTAAAAAGTGAAATTCTACCACTTGCAGCAAAGTAAACACAACTGGAGCTGGTGCTGTGGCACAGCAGGTTAATGCCCTGGCCTGGAACGCCGGCATCCCAGCTCCCTTTGCAAAACTTCCCTACCCACATTATACTCTTCCCCTCCTTTAGACCCCAGGTCCTCTTGATTTCCTCACCCCTCTCAAAACAAATTCACCGGAAAAGATCTAATCATACATACAAAGTGAATTCAACTTTCTGTAGTTGCTTCTTACTTAACTCTTATTCTGAAATCGAAGTCTTTATTCCTACAAAGTAGACTGGGGTGCGTCCATTCTATACTTAAATTCTCCTAATACCCATTAGAGAATCAGTCTTATGTTTTGCAAGCTTTTCCCACATTCATTCTTTCCTGTGAAAATGTGAAATCCACAGTTACCTATGCAAGATTGTGACTGCTAAAGAAACCTACTCAGTCTTAAGTTTCAGTCTGATGCACATTGGATATGAAGCAAAATGACCCAGGTTCATATCTTAGATGCACTTGAATTAGACATATTATCTTGGACAAATCCTTTATTCGCTCTAAGCCTGCATTTCCTAATTATTACAAGAGCTATGTATAAGCACTTGCCTCACGAGATGTTTCTGAACCTCAAAGGAAATCATAAACATCTAAGTATTCACCAATGGCAAAGAAGTACATACAGTGTGAGTGATCTCAGGCATCCTAAAACTTCATTAAACTTTATTCCTACTTGCACCATCCTTGGGTCAGGAAAAACGCATTCAATTTAGACAAGAATAAATAATATGACTAAGGTTCTCAGAATAGTGAAAGGTTCCAAGATGAAAGGTACAGTCTCTTCATTCAATCACAAAATAAAACTAGGAAACACTCATTAGAACTAATGTCCTGGGCTACTGTAATTAATTCAGCTATGAAAATCAATTTGTAAAAAAACAGCAAATGGTTTTATGAAAATCAGATGGACCTGGATGGAGACAGATGGGATGGTATTAAACTGCTAGCCAGTAAACTAGCAAATGAAAGTCATGAGAGGGGCCAATCTTGTGCTGCAGCAGGTTAAGCCTCTGCCTGTGATGCCAGCAACCCATATGGGCACTGATTCAAGTCCCAGCTGCTCCACTTCTGACCCAGCTTCCTGCTAATGCTCCTGGGGAAGGCAGTGCAAGGTGGTCCACAGGCTTGGGCCTCTGTACCAAGGTAGGAGACCCAGTTGGAGTTCCTGGCTCCTGGCTTCAGCTTGGCCCAGCCCCTTGCTGTTGTAGCCATTTGGGGAGCGAACCAGGGGTAAGAAATTTCTCTAACTCTGACCTTCAAATAAATAAAATCATTTTTAAAAGTTATAAGAGCTGGCGCCACGGCTCAATAGGCTGGCTAATCCTCTGCCTGCGCGCCAGCACACCAGGTTCTAGTCCCCGTTGGGGCGCCAGATTCTGTCCCCGTTGCCCCTTTTCCAGGCCAGCTCTCTGCAATGGCCTGGGAGTGCAGTGGAGGATGGCTGAAGTCCTTGGGCCCTGCACCTGCATGGGAGACCAGGAGAAGCACGTGGCTCCTGGCTTCGGATCAGCGCGGTGCGCCAGACACGGCGGCCATTGGAGGGTGACTCAACGGCAAAAGGAAGATCTTTCCCTCTGTCTCTCTCTCTCACCGTCCATTCTGCCTGTCAAAAAAAAAAAAAAAAAAAGTTACAAGAGTGGACTGCAAATCAAAACTTGCAAGAATTACAAATTAACCCACTGGATGTACTTGAAAGGAATTCTGTTCCTAAAATAAATACATTTTCCAAACACAATTCAAGCACTCAAAAAAAAAAAAAAAAGTCAAGATATCAGTAGGGAATAAATACACACATCACCAACATGCACATTTTTCTGCCATTTTCTCCTCTCTGAAATTATGAGGATGGGATAGAGATTCTGTCATTGATTATTTTTGGAATTCTGTGGAATGGGGAAAGAATTTGGAAGCAGTTGCTTTGCGTTCTGTTCCTCTGCTAGAAGTGAGTCCCTTCTCCCAAGAGGGAAGTCACACAGCCTGCCGGGCCCAGCTGGAAGCCATGCGCTGGGCAGGATCAACAGGTACACATGCTGCTCTTAGCACCACCAGAGGCACTGTGGGCGCAGAACGAAACCCAGCTCTCCCCAGCTGGAAGACAACTGGTGGACAGAGAGAAAGACATCTCTCTTAACCCCAAGCCTATTACTATTCCCTAACATTTCAAATGTGGGTAAGAGGAAAGAGGGCCAGAGGGGGTTAAGACACGCGGAGGAGGAACCCTCCCCATTCATTCATTCACTCAAAGGACACTGCTGGTGCCCACTGGACTCAGCAGTGGGAGCACAGAGAGAAGACCTCGAATGGTCTACCGGGCGGACACAAGACGCACAGCGGCGGGACGCGAGGTCGCGCTCGCGTTGGGGAGGCTTGGGGCGCCCTGGGAGCCCCGAAAGGCGCAGCCCAGCCGCGCCCATCCCCCTCCCCGGCGGCCGCGAGTTCCGAGGCGCGTCCCCTTGACAACGGGTGGCGGCGTGGCTGGCTGGAGGCTCTAGGGCAGGGAGAGGCCTCAACGGCCTCGGGGGCCGCGCGTTGGGAGCGCGGGAACCCGGCGGCGGCGGCGGGTGGCGGGTGCCCCGCGAGGCGGGCTCGGCCGGGCGGGAGTGACCTGGGCGGTCCGGCTCCCCGGGCCTCAGACCTCTCCGGTGAGCGCCGCGCGGCACAGCGCAGGTAACCGGCCCCTGTCGCCCCCCGGCCGAGAAGGACTGGAGCCCCCAACGGGCCGGGTGCTTGGTGGGGAGGCCAGGCTTGAACTGGGCGCGGGGCGGGCCGGGGGCGCGCGACGGGAGCGGAGCGCCTGGGGTGCGAGGGCCACGAGGGCTGCCCTTGCGGAACCCAGAGCCGTCTCCCTCCCCTGGAAGGCACAGGTGCCAGCTGTATGGCCTTCGGCCAGTCATCTCCCTGGCCCGTGCCTCGGTTTCCCCAACGTTACACTGGGGAGGGGGTCTGAGGAGCTACGTGGTCATCTGCTCCTTCCTGCCAAATTTTCGCTCATCATCTCCGCTCTGCGCACAAGTCCAGGCTCTCTTTAACTGCTTTTGACTTACAGGAGTCTTCCTCCTCTTCCTCCCACCTTGAATGCTATTAGTTGACTTTCATTCTGTGATTCACGGGAGTTGAAGGCCTTTTCAATACTTTCCCCACCTATTAGATTATTTTTAACGAAAACGTTGTTTCTGGGAAAAGAAAAAACTTTTTTTAAAAACTTTAGGCAAGTGGAAACATCCCTATTTTTCAACAGGTGAGCCAGTGCCTGCTGACCCACTGAGGAACTGTATGATTCTGATTTAGGGGCAATTCTCAACATTTCTGTCCTAACGCTCATGGTACATCCATTCTAACACAGTCCAGAAAGGGTCATAGAAGGAATGTACTTAAACCAAGGCAGACTGTTAGAGGATCCACCAGAATGGAAAGTTTGAGAGCATCTAGTGGGCCTCCTTTGAATAGGAACTCTGATTTTTTAAAAAAGATTATTTTATTTGAAAGTCAGAATTACAGAGAGAGAAGGAGAGACAGAGAGATAGTTCTTCCATCTGCTGTGTCACTCCCCAAATGGTCCCAACAGCCAGCACTGAGCGAGGCTAAAACCAGGAGCCAAGAGCTTCATCTGCATCTCCCACATGGATACTGAGGCCCAAGCATTTGTGCCATCTTCCACTGCTTTCCCAGGTGCATTAGCAGGGAGCTGGATTGGAAGTGGAGCAGCCAGGTCCCCAACTGGCACCCATATGGTATGCCAGCACCACAGGCATAACCTACTATAGCACAACACCAGCCACGGAACTCTTATTTTACTTGTTCTCCTATACTAAGTACTTGGCAAACTCTTGGTACCAAGCTGTCATTCCGTAAATAATAAGTAGGTACCCATGTCAGTCAATTCCACATATTTCAGCTTATCACTAAGCCAATACCATAAATGCTAGGGGGTATTAAAAACAAATAAAGCCCGGCCGGCGCCGCGGCTCACTAGGCTAATCCTCCGCCTTGCGGCGCCGGCACACCGGGTTCTAGTCCCGGTCGGGGCGCCGGATTCTGTCCCGGTTGCCCCTCTTCCAGGCCAGCCCTCTGCTGTGGCCAGGGAGTGCAGTGGAGGATGGCCCAGGTGCTTGGGCCCTGCACCCCATGGGAGACCAGGAAAAGCACCTGGCTCCTGGCTCCTGCCATCGGATCAGCGCGGTGCGCCGGCCGCAGCGCGCCGGCCGCGGCGGCCATTGGAGGGTAAACCAACGGCAAAAGGAAGACCTTTCTCTCTGTCTCTCTCTCTCACTGTCCACTCTGCCTGTCAAAAATAATAAAATAATAATAAAAAAAAAATTTAAAAAAAAAAAAAAACAAATAAAGCCCAAATTTCTATACTTTATAGAACCAATAGCTACAACACATACACTCATATTAAATGATTTTCCAATTACAAAATTATCTTTTATAGGTTAACAAAATGTAAGCATTTAAGAAATCTAGATCATTTTCTTCCTAACAGGTTAAAAATCGAGAAATATAAACCAGATGTAGCTGGTTCTTGACATGGAGAACCAAACTCATAATACAATGGGGTAAGTGTTGAGAAATTTCTGTTTAATAAATTGGTACTTTATGCCCAAAAACTCCCTGATGAAAAATGAATTTTGAAAATTACTATTAATAAAAGGACATGCCAGTTATTTTGAGGGAAGAGGCTGGGAGGAGGGGAGGAATTTCAAGTAACTGTACTTATCATTCTATAGTGTAAATCTCTCCAGTCTTGACTATGCTGATCTAAACTCAAAAATTATGATTTTCCAACTTTTAGTGATTATGTCATTGTCTTAGGGTGATGAGTGCCCAGGCTCATTTGCTCATAATGTTTCCACAAAGCAGCAACTGTTAGCCAGCCTACTCCTTTCTTGTGTTGTTTCCAAACTTAACCTCTGTTCTTGCTCTTAAGGCTGAACTCAACTTTTTTTTTTTAAGATTTTACTTGTTTGTTTGAAAGCTAGAGTTATATACAGAGAGAGGGAGAGAGAGAGAAAGGTCTTCCTCCAATGGTTCACTCCCCAAATGACTGCAATGGCCAGAGCTGGGACAATCCAAAGCCAGGAGTCAGGAGTTTCTTCCAGGTCTCCCACAGGGTTGTAAGGGCCCAAGCACTTGGGCCATCTTCTACTGCTTTCCCAGGTCATAAGCAGAGAATTGGATTGGAAGAGGGGCAGCTGGGACACAAACAGGTGCCCATATGGGATGCCAGCGTGGCCAGTGGATGCTTAACCCACTATACCACAGTGCCGGCCCATGAAATCAACATTTAAACACAGCCTGAAAATAGGTCCAGCTCCACAAAACAGTAGCAAGAATGGAATGGCTTACCAAAACTTTAGTAAAGAGATAGGAATGAAACTTGTATAGCATTTACCATTGTAGAAAATGAATCAAATTCCTTGTTACAAATACCTGTTCCCTGCCCCTTCCCTGCCACGAGCACCTCAAAGGTTTCTCTTCCTATTGCAGTAGTCCACTGGCCACTTCCTGACCCAGGACTTGGAGAGTGGGGAGTGTATGGGGTGGAGTTGTAAAGCCTCATTGTGACTGTGACTGACCTTGGCATCCGTCACACCATTCTGGTGACAGATGTGTCACCCGACACATCTGGGTGTGTTATTGCAGTGATTCTATTCAGGCGTGACTTTGACACCAAGCAAAAGGAAAGCTGAAAAGTCTAGATATAATAACTGTCACTCCTTCCTCCTCATAATAGCCCTGCTAGGTGTCATTTTCATTTTACAACAAGAAAACAGAAATATTGTAATCTAAGCTCTTGTAACAAAAGACCCCAAAATACAAGTGGCTCAAATAAGATGGAAGTTCATTTCTATCTCAAATACCAGTCCAGAGATAAAGCAGACCAGAGTTGAGAGGGCAGCTTTACCATCCTTAACATGATTTACACCTCTGAACCCAAAATGATTACTTCAGCTCCCACTATCTCTACTAAATTCTTATTTTTTAAAGAACAAAGTTTCTTAATGATCTATGTATGAATTATAGTATAGGGCTTAGCACAGTACTCAATACCTTTATTTTTAAGAGACTGGAGAGAAACAGAAATCATGATTATTCTCTTAATAGAGGGAAAGATAAGGACAAAAGGAAAGAATAACATTTTTCCTTTTAGGAATGTGGCCTAGTCAGGGCAGAGCCAGAACTTGGTTTCAGCTAGCCCCACTAAAGGCTGGGAAATGTGGACCCCAACTGGGCAGCCCTGTGGCCAGCAAAAGCTTTGAAATTCTGTGATGCAGATGGTCCCCAGATGATGATGGCTTGACTTACAATCGACTTCACGATAGTGTAAAAGCAATATGTATTCAACAGAGACCATACTTTGAACTTTGAATTTTTGTCTTTTCCCAGGCTAGTAATTTATGATAGAATACTGTTTAGCAATGCCAGGTGGTGGCAGTGAGCTACAGCTCCCAATCAGCCGTAGGATCAGGAGGGGAAGCAACTGAAAACCTGCAGTATACTGAGTTGCTAAACTGTGATAGTGGATTAATTAGGTGTACAAGAGTACTTCAACAAGTTCATGAAAAAAAATAAAAAGATAATGCATATTTTTAATGAACTCTCTAAATTACCCTCATATTACATTCATTTTTGACTTATGATACTTGCAACTTATGATCAGATCATCAGAACGCAACCCCATCAAAAGTAAGGGAGAATGTGTAAAGGAAGAATTGTTATCGTGAATAACGAGGAGTCTTTAACACACTGAGACTCGGAAGAGTAGAGAGAGGGAAAGCAGAGGCGAGGAGAGAGAGAGAAAGCAGCGATATACCCTAGAATATACAGCTGGTTAGTGGAAGGAGACAAGATTCAAAATCAGATATGTCTGAACCCAATCCCTACATTCCTGGCAATAAGAGTCAAGGAGGGGCTGGCGCTGTGGCATAGCCAGTAAAGCCACCGCGTGCAGTGCCGGCATCCCATATGGGCACCAGTTTGAGTCTCAGCTGCTCCACTTCTGATCCAACTGCTACTAATGTGCCTGGAAACACAGAAGAAGATGGCCCAAGTCCTTGGACCCCTACGCCTGCATGGGAGACCTGAAGAAGCTCCTGGTTCCTGGCTTCAGATTGGCCCAGCTCTAGCCATTGTGGCCATTTGGGGAGTGAACCAGCAGATGAAAGACTTTTCTCTCTCTCTCTCTCTCTCTCTCTCTCTCTCTGCCTCTGCCTCTCTGTAATTCTGCCTTTCAAATAAATAAAGAAATCTTCAAACAAAAAATAAAGGTACAAGGAGCAGCCTGATACCCATAGCTACATCAGGTTAGAATTCTAGATTGAGGGGCCAGCGTTGTGGCATAGCAGGTGAAAGCCTGTGACAATGGCATCCCATATGGGGGCCAGTTTGAGTCTCAGCTGCTCCACTTCTGATCCAGCTGCCTGCTAATATGCCTGGAAACGCAGCAGAAGATGGCCCCAAGTGCTTAGGCCCCTGTACCCACTTGGGAGATCTAGAAGAAGCCCCTGGATTCTGGTCTTAGACCAGCCCAGCTCACAGCCATTTCAGCCATTTGGGGAGTCAATCAGTGGATGGAAGATCTCTGTGTGTGTGTGTGTGTGTGTGTCTGTCTGTCTGTCTGTCTTTCTCTTTCTGTAACTCTACCTTTCAAGTAAATAAGTAAATCTTTAGAAGAAGGAGGGGGGAGAGGGGGGAGGGGGAAGGGGAAGAGGAAGAGGAAGAGAAGAAGAAGGAGGAGGAGGAGGAGGTGGATAATTCTGGATTGAGTATGTGTTGGGTCCCTGGTATGACAGTGACAGTAAGGATTAAGATGCGGATTGGAAGTTTCAAACCTAAGGCAGCTTTATCAGTTATCATATCAGTTATCATTTCACTCCTGAGATCTCAGGTCATGGGGACTGCTATTTCCATTCTCTTCAGGGGAAAACAAGTATTGACTACTGAAAAGAGTGTGACAGGCCCAGTACTAAGCCCTGTAGTTCATGCAAAGATCACTAAGAACCTTTGTCCTTTTAAAACTTTAGGATTTAGTAAAGAACCATAGGACTTGCTTAGGTACACAATGTGATTACACAACAGAAGTTAGTGGAAGTTACTGGAGGTTTCCATGAGGAACTGCTTCACTCATAACAGCAACCATGGGGCCAGACATTGCTAACCATGCTCTCCAAAGCTTAGAGAGCCTCTGTACCTTGTGCTATTGAGAAATAATGAAAATCCAGATCACAAATCCAACAAAACCTCTGCACCAGGGACTTGTTATGTAGCTTATCAAACTGCATCGCCCAGGTACACAGCAATGTTTTATGGCACAGCCTTCATTCAACAAATATTTTAGTGTCTCCTATGAGCTGCTCATACAAAACAGACAACAATTGTCCCTGAAGGAACTTAATATGTTAGTGATAGAGGCTAACAATAAATATACATATATATATACATATATATATATACACACAGTCATATGTGACATGAAGAAAAATACAAATATGTACTTTAAAAAGCCATTTGAGCCGGAGCCCAGCGCCGCCGCCATGTCTTCCGGGGCCAGCGTGAGCGCCCTGCAGCGCGTGGTGGAGCAGCTCAAGCTCGAGGCCGGCGTGGAGAGGATCAAGGTCTCCCAGGCGGCCGCCGAACTCCAGCAGTACTGCATGCAGAACGCGTGCAAGGACGCGCTGCTGGTGGGCGTGCCAGCCGGAAGCAACCCCTTCCGGGAGCCCCGCTCGTGTGCTTTGCTCTGAGCACCGCAGGGAAGAAGTTCGCCGAGCAATGCCTTCGAGCACAAAGTGAAGAATGACTGCCTCCAAGTCTCTAGAAGACGTTTCCTGCAGCCGAATGACTTGTAGACGTTTCAGACCTTCCCTGTGGCCTGGGCCCATCTCCAAAGTCCCACAGAAAGGAATGAGTTTCTACTCAGATAAAGGAGCCCAGTGACAATGGCCTGATTGGCATGGTGAAGTGCTTTATAGTAAGACAGACAAAACCCTTACCACCAAATACACCAAGTCACACACCTTCCGCGAGTGAATGAGTGGTGTTTCTAAACCTGGAATGTGTTGTATGTATTGAATATTTACATTTTAGGGAGAAAAACATTTTTGTTTATTAAAAAATGAATATTTGTAAGATTTTGATACCATAATAAAATTTTTTTCTCATGAATTTACAGCCACTAAGTAAAGATAAGAAAGGATAAAATTCGGGGGCAGAGTAGGTTTTACTAATCAAATGATGTCTTGATTTTTCTAAAGGAGAAAATTGTTTCACTTATAACACTAAACGTGGGAGATGTTTCATAGAAAACTTGTTTGGCAAGGTTAACGATATCTTGGGTATTAGGTTGCCCCATTCTGTGTATGAAGAAGATTTGATCTTTGTCTTGTTAAGTTCACTTACTTTGTAGTTGTAGCTGTACTTTTAAAGAATGCCTTTAAAAAATGTTTAAAATGTGACCTACACACAGAGCGTTGCACATGATTAAAAACAAAGTAATGTAAAAATATTAATACCTAAAATAATTCTTCACGTCACAAATGTTCTACTCTGATGATGTGCCTTTGAGTTAACATGGGACACTTTTAGGATGCTTTGTGCTTTAATGTTTGAAGAGCTTGGGAATAAAAATTTCTGATTAATTAAAAAAAAAAAAAAGCCATTTGAAACTTCACTACTGTCACTGAAAAAACAGCCATCTCCTGTTCCTTCCCCCATTCATCTACTGGAGGCAACCACTTTTAATTCTTTTGCCTGATTTTTTTTTTTCATTTCTTTCTTTTCTAGGGGGTGTGGGAAGGAAGAAAGGTTTATCTGTCTCTGAAAATATGCTTATATTACTACTTCCTCATTGGGTATTATCTACTGACTTCCACAATGGATATTTTGCATGCCCTGCACTGCCTCATCCCCACCCAGACATACACACACACACACACACACACAGAGCCACAATTCCCACTCCTCCATCCTCCTAGCACACCATGATTTTGGTGAGCCCGGTTTTCTCTTTGCCTTGTTATGACTCTGCAAGTACTCTTCACCTCTGAGTCATGTAGTACACTGTGATTACTTTTGCTTTTCCTGCACGATATTTTATTATGTCTAAAATTAATAACTCTGGTATCTTAATGCTAAATCTTTGAAGTATTCTTTCTGCATAATTCTCTTCAAAATCTGCCCTTTTGTTTGTATTTGACTCACCTTGTCTGCCATGTGAGTCCAGGATTCCTGCTGCTTACTCCCATTTCAGAGTGGTACTGTAGAAAGTTGCTGGAAAGCTCCTGTGCACACAGTTCACTGTGTGGTCATCAGGCTAGGCTGTGTTCTTGCCAGGACCCTGTCCTTTAGCCTTCTGCCTTGGACTGATCAGATTCCAGAGAATCCTCTTCCAGTCCCCTGCCTGGAAAGAATAAATTGGGTATCAGCATTTGGGGAATGGAGGGAGGGGGTGCTCTGGGGATTTACACTTGCACTGTGTGGCAGCAACTTAACCCCCAGTTTCTAGAATAGCAGCTCCCTATTGTGCCTAGTGTTCCTCCAGTCCCACAGCCTCTTTCTGTTACCTTCACCAGAGAATGCGCCTGGACTCTACTGCTGGGGAGGTATCTAGGCATCCATTCCCTTCTCACTCATTCCCTACTTCGCCATTCTCGTGCTTGCAGGCTCACATTCGCCTCTTCTCCCAGAAGTACCTAACTGTGTTTCTTCTTGGCTTTCTCCGCCGCCAGCCGGCTTTTTTTCCCATCATAGGTTTAACCTCATAAGTTAAAATTACTCCTTTGTTTTACTGTACTAGGATATGAGAAGAAAGCACAATATATGTATGTTTATCCATCACTAACCAAAAATCTCACTTTTTCTCTACTGAATCTTTTATTATACCTCTTATCTGTGACTTATCCCTTGCCACTGATCTCTTTCATAGAATCTTGTCAAATGCTTCCTAGAAATCTAGTCACTGCTACACAATCCACCAGATTATTTGCATCTGCCATGGAAGTCATATTTTCAAAGGAGCAAGGCAGATGAATATTAAAGCATAATTCCTCACCTCTGAATTCAGAAAAAGTCCTTTAAAACTAATCTTCTATATGTGCATCAGTTTTACCTCTTAGAAGTGTCTTTTCCCTCTGAGATATATTAATTCAGAATCAAAGCTTTACGTGTTAGCATCTTGATGAGTTAAATACAGTTTTAATTTTAGCTTTTAAAATTTTTAATTTTTCTGTTATAATACAAGACATTGGAACTTTAATAGTATATTCTTATTGCACATTGAAAATCCCTTTTGATTGATTCTCTTCCCTTCTGTGTGCTTCAAGCTATACTTCCCCTGTTCTCCATCCATGATTTTTTATTCCTCTCCACACACACATGCTCCTCTCCAGAGCAATCAAATTTGACATGTTCTGCTAGTCTTATTTCTCTGAAAATGAAACAAAGTATACAGGCAGTAAAAATATTGATATGCCAAACTTTGGAGGTGGACTCTGAAATGTCAGCACAATGCTACATGATTATAGGGATTCAGTGAGTGGCTTTGAAAGGAGGAAAGAATAGTAGAAAGAAGAAATGGAACAAGGGAAAAAATGAAAACTGCAGGGGAAGATTCCATTGAGAGACTAACTAAGCTGCTAACACATTCAGGGAAAGATTTGTGAGCCTCTAGTCAACGCAGTGGTGAAACAGAGAAATGCTCAGCATGTGGGGAGAAATGTCCAACATGTGAAGGAAGAAGCAATCACAATGGCAGCAGTTAGCATCAAAGCTGCATCCTCCTCAAACTAAACTCAAGGAAAGGAAAAATTGAGACCAAAAAAAAAAAAAAATCGGGCAAGAGAAGTGTGGCATAAGCATCAGTGTTGACAGAATCATCAAGTGAATCCAGTAGCACTGTAGGCCTGTGGGTTCTAGGGCCCCCAGCTCGGCCCAAGAAGGTTTATCGTCTCCGCTGTTGCACTATAGGGACCCACACAGTGGCTGACATGGGGTAGGTGTGCGGTCAGCATATGTGAATGAAAAAACAAATTCAAACATGACAGCCTATCAAAGAAAATAGTGGTGGGGCGTGAGACTCAATTAGTGCTATGGCCCAGGGACTTGTATAATCCAGTGCTTGCCACAAGCCACAGCACATATACATTTATGATGGTGAAGAGAATCAAGATGCTTTGAGTATTAATGGTCATGAGGCCACCCACCTCACAGAGTGTCACATAGCAAGATATAATAAGGCACTGCTGCCCCTCCCAGCCAGGGTAGCATCAGTGAAGGACTACTGGGTAGCCTGAACACTCACCCCAACAGAGTGGTAATGAAGAACTGAGGAGTACCTCCCTTGAAGGGGTAAAAGAGATGGAGTCAAGAACCTGAACTTGGAGCACTGCCTGGTACCATGTCCCCATGCTGGAGAACTATCAGAGGAGAATCACAAAACTTAAGTATGATTCAGAGTTGCATACAACAATACCAAAACAAATCAGGGTCCAGGGGCCGGCGCTGTGGCACAGCATGTTAAAGCCCTGGCCTGAAGCACTGGCATCCCATATGGGCGTGGTTCTAGTCCCAGCTACTCCTCTTCTGATCCAGCTCTCTGCTGTTGCCCGGGAAAGCAGTGGAAGATGGCCCAGGTCCTTGGGCCCCTGCACCCATGTGGGAGATCGGTGCAGCTCTGGCCATTGTGGCCATCTGGGGAGTAAACCAGCAAATGGAAGACCTCTCTGTAACTCTTTAAAATAAATAAAAATAAAATATTTTTAAAAGGAGGAGGGAGCAGATGAAGGGTGATGAGTACAAACAAAAGATTGCATGCTGGCATTCTTATTTGGGGGTTTCTATAGAAACCAGCTGTAAGGCAAGGGTTTGGATACAAGTGGTTTACTGTGGATATGAAGAGATAGTGTATTATTTTCCTATGGCTACTATAACATATCACCACAAACTTGGCAGCTTAAAACAATGAAAATCACTGTTCCCAGAGGCTGAAAGCCCAAAATCAGTATCACGGACCGAAATCAGTCAGAAGAGCTGCACTCCCTGACAACGCTCTTGGGGAGGACCTTTTCCTCGCCTCTTCCAGAGCTGGTGGCTGACAACATTCCGTGGCTTGTGGCAGCATCATTTCAGTACTCAAGGCCACTTCTTGCAATCCGCCTCTGCTTCGTCTTCATATCCCTTTCTCTTTTGTGTGGCAGATCTCCCCTGCCTCTCTCACACAGCCCATGCAGATAATCCAGGAAGAATTCCCCACTGGAGAGCAGGCCCATGTGTGCCAAGGTGGTGAGGGCAGAGAGGTGTAGGGCTCCCACAGCATCCACTTCAGCCCTCCTGCTAAAAGCTTTACAGCAACTTCCGCTTGCCTTTCACAGGCCATATTTTGTTGTATGGCCATGCCTAGCTCCAAGGAAGCCTGGGAAATGTAGCTGCCTTTTCAGCTGGAACATTTCCACTCTGAATAACGTTAAAGTTCTGTTATTATGGAGGAAAGGCAAGATTTGGGGTAGACACATTAATCCGTTTTCTGTGAAAATCACAGAAATACATGAGGCTGGGTCCTTTATTAAGAAGAGGTTGATTTAGCTCACAGTTTTTGGAGACTGAAAGTCCAAGATTGGGCAGCACCATCAGGCCAGGCTCTGCTGATGGCACCAGGGCGGAGGCTGTCCCAAAGACAGAAACACATGGTGAGATGGGAAACCAGAGAGACGCAGGGGTCAGGCTTTCTCTTTTTATAACAACTCACCCCTACAACCATTAACCGGGGTCCCACAAGAACTATATTATTCTCTTCCCACAGTGATGTTTCGAATGGCCTAAATACCTCCCTCTAAGCTCCACCTCTTAAAGGTTCCACTGTCTGTCAATACCATTACATTGAGGGTAAAGCTTCCAGCAAATAAGTGTCCAAGGGACACAGTCCAACCATATCGAATCATAGCAGTAAGCTACTAGAAGACAAGTTGTAAGGATGACTCCGACCAGGTTTTATCTCTGGATATCGTGAGATAGGGTCAGAATGCATGATATATATTGGAGGTAGTGCCAATAAAACTTACTATGATTTTGGAGTTTGAGGGGGAAACACAAATCTATGATTATGAAGAGTTTTTATCTTGATCCACTGGTAACAATCATGCTAATTAGAGAGATGGCATGGACTTGCATGAGGAGCAGGTTTCTAGTACAGGGAGTCAAGCGCTGTGTTTTGAACATGTGAAGCTCAAATGCTTCTGGATGTCCTATGGAAATGTCAGTGTTGAATAGGTAGCTGGCCAGAGAAGTCTGGAGCTCAGAAACTTTGGCTGCAAATAGATTTAGAAGCTATCAGAACAAACTGGTATGAGTCACTCAGTAGAGATTTCCAACATTCAGGAAACAATTTAAAAGGTTGCCTAATGCAAGAAAAACAGATTTTTATCAATGAGTACCTAATTCTTTCCTATTGGGATCTAGTAAACAGTCATGTTTAAGTGGGAAAAGGGTAACATGACTATCCTCACGTGTATCAACACTGCAGTCTCATCAAATAGACTTTCTGGCAGGAGGGAAATTTAATTTCCCAGAGTTTGGCTTACAGAACCCAAGTAATAAACATGTAAACATTTTTATTAATTGTATTACATGCTATATGTATTGCTGTAAAATAATAATTCAGA